TTTCAATAGCTATGTTAAACTACCAGAGGGTATAGCACCAGTCATAGGATTTATATGGAGTTGTATGGGAAACATAGCTACTTTATTGATCTAGCTGCCTGGATCGCTACAGTGAGTTTCAACCCAAGGGGCCCAGCTTACCGCGCTTGTCATGTCATGAAATATGTTGTTTTTTTGCACAAACTGCGTAAAAACTAGCAGTAGTGTATGCAGACAAAAGACAACACAAGTGTTTGAATAATATTTATTTACATATATTTACAATAAATATATATATGATTATATATATATACAATTATATATATATATATCTACACGTGATTATATATATTCATAATTATATATATATATACATATATATATTTACATAATTATATATGATTATTATTATGTATTATTATTATGTCGTTTTTTTCATTTATTATTTTACAATAGTGTGCATAGTTGTACGAACATCCTGCCCATTTGTGATATGATATAGATACATAGACATATAGGGGTATGTGTATATCAGAATATATATATATATATTATATTCATATATACATTTACCGCAAACATGTACATTATAATATATATATATATATTTAATATGATATACACATACATAGCAGTCAGTATATATATATAGGTGGTGCCAAAATTATAGAACGAAATTGGGAGTACAAAAGTACGGTAAAATACCGTGCCTTCGTACTCCTCCGGATCCCGATTTCGCGCGGATTGGGATCTTGTTCTATGATTATTTTTTCTGTTCTATAACCAATTGTTCTGTTCTATAATTTCTGGCACTTCCATGATATCTATTGCATATTTGTATACAGTACATATTTACGCATATACCGTAGATACCCTTCTTGGAAAACCCCACAATGTGTTTATTTTGTGTACATATATTTGCATCATTTTATGTATCTTTCTGGGACCCCAGAAAAAAGTGACACAGAAATCAGAATTATAGAACGGTTTACGCAAAATTAATTATAGAACGGAAAAAATAAGTATGGAACGAAACTGGTAAATGTGGGAAAAATGGGGGAAACACAATTATAGAACAAACCAGAATTATAGAACGACGAAAACAAATGGAGTAAGTTAAGATATGTTTTTTTGGTTTAATACCTTCCGAGGAAAACAGAAGTATGGAACAACAGGGTACGGTACATAACCGTACCTTCGTACTCCTCAACTTCCGTTCTATAATTTTGGAACCGACCATACATATATATATATTTATCGAAGGAAGTTTAGAAGTCAAACTTCCGACAATATGGACAGCTGAAAAGCAGAGCAGGGAAGAGGCAGAGAGAAGAGGAAGATTAGAAGAAAGAAGAGTAGAAGAGAAAGAGTAAGAAGAAAGAAGATGCAGATGCGCGAAAAGGTCGGAAAGTCGCGAAACACAGTGTTTTTCCAATGATTTTTGGCTCCGGTGGGTCGAAAAGTAGGCTCGCTAAAGCGGCGGGTGCGGAGCCAGCTGGCCAGATGAGTGATGAAAAATTGCACGCCGTTGTGGCGCGAAGCACATTTGCAAGTTGAAAAGCTCAAAACACCTCACGTCCGGAGCACTTTTTGAAGTTGCGATGTCGAAAAAGTGCACGCCGTTTTGGCGCGAAGCACATTTCCAAGTCAAAATGCACAAAACAAACCAGGTTCGGACCACTTTTTGCAGTTGAGATGTCGAAAAAGTGCACGCCGTTGTGGCGCGAAGCACATTTGGAAGTCAAAATGTACAAAGCACACCAGTGTCGGACCACTTTTGGAAGTTGAGATGTCGAAAAAGTGTACGCCGTTGTGGCGCGAAGCACATTTCCAAGTCAAAATGTACAAAACACCACATGTTCGCGCCACTTTTGGAAGTTCGGATTGTCGCTTACGCTTCACTACATACATTTACACTTTTTTAACACTGCCACTACACTTACACTTAACATTACACTTACACTCAACTACCCTAAACTACACAACTACACTCCACTACACTCCACTACACTAAATTACACTACACTACATTACACTACACTACACTCCACTACACTACACTACATTACACTACACTGCACTACCTTCCACTACACTTCACTACATTACACTACACTACACTCCACTACACTACAACTACAACTACAACTACAACTACACAACTACACTCCACTACAATACACTCCACTACACTCCACTACACTAAATTACACTACACTACACTACATTACACTACACTACACTCCACTACACTACACTACATTACACTACACTACCTTCCACTACACTTCACTACATTACACTACACTACACCCCACTACACTACAACTACAACTACGACTACACAACTACACTCCACTACACTCCACGACACGAAATTGCACTACACTACGCTACATTACACTACACTACACTACATTCCACTACACTCCACTACACTACACTATTTTACACTACACTACATTACGCTGAATGACACTGCACCACAGATAGACAGGTAGACAGATAGACAGATAGATAGACAGACAAGGTAGACAGCTAGACAGATAGACAGATGACAGAGAGAGAGAGAGAGATAGATACATAGATAGATAGATAGGTAGATAGGTAGATAGGTAGATAGGTAGATAGGTAGATAGGTAGATAGGTAGATAGGTAATGAGATGAAAGAGAGAAAGAGAGAGATAGATAGATCGATAGATAGATACATAGAAGATAGGCTGGTAGGTAAGTAGATAGTCAGAGAAAGAGAGAGAGAAAGAGAGGAGACCTCAAGCACCTTTCGGCCCATCAGTGGATTCGCTCTGCCATCCCTGATTCACAACAGCCAATCTCTCCTATAGGTTTCCATTTTTTGAAACTTCCGCCACCGCCTTGTGCGGTACTACTGGTATTTATATTATACACATATATGTGTGCGCAGTATATATTGTATATACACCTGAATCTAAACAGATAGACATCATTGAATCATGCATCATCTCGCTGCTTGGTGAAATTCCCGGCTGATCGCAGTTGGTGAGCCTCACGGTGGCTCCTCCGCTTGCTGAGCCGGCGCCATAGTCAAATAGGGACTGTTGAAGAAGTGTGTCATATATGTATATATATATATATACTATACATAAATATATAATATATGTATATATATTTACATATTTTACCCATGTTGATGTGTAGTGTTGATATTGAGTTTTCATGTATGTATATGTATATATACATGAAAACACAATATCAACACTACACATCAACATGGGTAAAATATGTATATATATATATATATACACACAATTTTATGCATGTATATGTTCATATATACGTAAACACATGTTTCTGTGGTATCAATAGAAGTGGTACGGTACATCCGAACTGACGAGCCTCCGTTTCACTCTTCGCACTGACCGCGATACTGACCGTGCGCGACACTTGTCGCAGCGACAAAAAAAAACAGATCCAGGGGGCCCCTCGGAGGCACCGGACATCTCGATAAATGTTAGATATATTTCATAAATCTGGGTAGATTATAACGACCTCACTGCGATGTCACTGGAAATCACGGTTAGTAAGGGGAATCATCCCCAAATGGTCTTAATTCAGGTTAGTGAATTATTTTAATTTACCCAGATATATACCTGGCATTACATGGCTATAACATGGTCCATCAAGGACACTGGCATAAGAATCAATCAATGAGAACATAAACCAAAGCCAATGGGAATTTCAGGATCCTAAAATGGAGGTACTGTACCATAATAGGCCTTAGAAATAGGCCTTATATATGGTAGGTACCTCCAATCAATAGGTTGCTGCAATGGCTATTAAAAAAGGAAAACCAGGGTTTGTTACGCGCGAATCTTAACCACCAATACACCATGGTTTTGGGCCCACATCACCATCTATTGTTGGGGGACCACTCTTGGTCAAGAAACCATAAGGAGGTGATTGGAATCGGACTTGGTCATGAAAACACGTATAAAACACGGTGCCCCCCTAGTGATGTGAACATTGGTTTGAAACCACCACGAATACTATAGTGATATCTACCATAAACCATAGTAAATCACGTGGTGTTTGGAGGGAATGGATTGTAATGATCATCCTTTTTTGGGTTAATAGTTTACTCATGACTCTTGTCTCTTGCTGCAGATGGAGCAAGCAATCTAGGCCATGATGCTGGGATTCCAATGAGATGCTTAGGCTGTCACGGGAGTTGCCAAAAAGATCGAACAGTGCGGCTCGTGAAACAATGATGGTTTAGTTTGATGTACTTATATATATATATATATATTTACATATCTATTCATAAATAAATAAATATATATATATATATATATATATATATATATAGACCATATGTATACAGATTTCGTGCATTACTACTGTGGATGGTTGCGATATCCTGCACCACCTGGGATGTTAGAAAACTTATAAATAATGGGATGTTTACCACCTATGAACTTGTGCAGGATCTCGCAACCATCCACGGTAAAGAAATCGACTCGTCACTGCGTCCTTGGAGTCCTGGGCTATCCCAGTCGTGGAATGGCGAAGAAGAAGATGTAGCCCGGCTAAGCAAATTCGAAAGTGGGATAGCACATGATAGCACCATAGCTACCCTCTGGTTATTTAACATAGCCATGGAAAATGGTCCATTTATAGATGGTTTAACTATTAAAAATGGTGATTTTATTTTCCATGGCTATGTTAAATAACCAGATGGTAAAACCTTTGTTTAGTGATAAAAACATTTTGGCTGGTGAGCACATCATTGCTTAAACTGCCAATTACTAATGTTTGATGGTTACATCATCATTTGGGGAAAGACAACTCAAAACATCCCCCACAGAAAATTCATTATTCATCGGTAAAATCACCAGTTTTGATGCTTAGAAAATCTAATGTTCACTATTTCTAGACTTCTTTAAATCTTCATGTTTCATGCTGAAGTCACTGTGTCAGACATGTTTTGGCCGCGTCAATCCACACTTTTCCCGCCCGTTTTCTTCATCTCGCTGCGGCCGCAGGACCTGTGCCGGCGTCTACAGCCCGAAGTGGGCCGGGGCGAACGGAGCGAAAAGCTCTCGGCGGCTCCTTGGAGCGAGTTCATGTGCGAACGGGGCGAACGGTGCGAAAACGTTGGGACTGTTCCATCCCTCTGGTTAGTATTATAAATATATTACAATTATCAATTATATTACCTATGGGTCATATTAATATTAGTTAACCACTATGTGAATATTCTTATCAATGGCACTTAGTTTCACTAGTAACTTATTACTGGTTGGTGGTTTGGAACATGGCTTTTATTTTCCATATATTGGGAATAAGAATCCCAACTGACTTTCATATTTTTCAGAGGGGTAGGTATACCACCAACTAGAATATGAAACATGCCCTTAATGGTCCCAATTATGTGTAAAAATCTCATACTAAACCATGGTTTCTGGGGGTAGTTAAATACTAGCGGGATGGGATTATTTATGAAACCATATCAAGTTAAAGTAGGGAAATGGTTTGTGGTCTATAATATCGAAGATAAACATATATTGTATATTTATGAAAATGGTTTCCTGGAAATTCACATTAACTAGCTTGATTCCATGGAAATTGAAGTGATAGCTTTGAAATACCATAGGAACACCTTACTAATATGATTTGAATCTATAGTCACAAACTAGTTACTGTTATTAGTCTTAAGTATAGTTATACTAATATGAAAAGTATTATGTAGAGCAACTTAATATGGATTCATATTATGGAAATGGTTCCTCGAAAATAAACACTAATTTTAATATGATTAATATGAATGTATATATATATAATATGGTTGGTGGTTTCAAACATTTTTTATTTTCCATAATATATGGGATGTCATCCTTCCCATTCACTTTCATATTTTTCAAGATGGTTAAAACCACCAACCAGTTATTCACCTTATTATCCAAGACAATGGGTAAATCACCATTTTCAATGGGTAAATCCACTATGTCTATGGCAATTTTCCATAGCTATGTTAATATATAATATGAATATATCGTGATATGAAAATGACATGAAATGACCTCGCGACGTGACGTCACTGTGATGAGTACGCAGGAACTGTCGACCTGGAACGAGCCAGCGGTGCAGGTGTTAGATAAGTGGACTTAAGTGGACTTAGGTAAGTGGGGTAAGTATTCAATAGTATTATATATTCTATTATATATATATATACATCTACCTAGAGAAGCCAATACCTACAAAAATGTAAATCGCAAGTAAAAAACCTATCATATCAGCGCAATTGTGTGGAACGCTCACTCCAAGCGGGATGGAAACGGTCGAGAACCTGGACAGACACATTTTTTCTCAAACACTATAATTTGAACGTGACTGAAAAAAATGTGGAGTGAGGGGAATTGGAGGTAAATGGATATTTTGGGAAATTTCAGTGAAATGGTGGAATCACAAAAACCACGGTTTTGGAAAAACATGTTTCTTTAAGAGAAAAGCTTGGTTATGAACCAAGAACCGTCACTTTTATAGGTTTTGGTTTCTCTAGGTAGTAAGTCATGTATACACTTACGTATGTCAGTAGTGACTCAAGTTGATTCAGATGACATGGTCGTGACAGTTGAACCGTCACAGCCCTGGGATGCAGACCTTGCGGTTCACTAGGGATTAGGCAGCATGCGAATCATCCATGCTGAACCAGATAAACTCTGGGTGAAGATCGCTGAAAGTGTCATGGGTCAACAGGTAAAGCAAAATGAATACTTGGGTAGCTTCGGGAATGGGTCCAAATTTTGCACATCGACACCTCCAAGTCCCAAGAAGTTCTGGGTATCCCATTAATTCCCAATAATATATAATTATTAATTTGAAAAATATATATATATATGTTAATTTACCAAGTTAAATCCCAATAAATCCCAATTTTTGGTGGTTTGTGTTGTCAGGATGGTCCCCTTCCACCCATGTGGCTTGGAGCAGATCCACGGCATCAGGAAGAGCTGCTGCAACGCATCCGAGCGGCGCTGAAAAGCGGAGATTGGCTCAACATCACGGTCCGGGACTGATGAGTCCCGCGGGCTGACCCCGTGGAACATGTTTTTTCCCCACCTGCCAGGTGAGGGTTTTTAGATTTTATCAGAGTTGTTCTCCTCCTCCTCCTCGTCCTCCTCCTCCTCCTCTAGTTTCTCCTCGACCATGTCTGCATCAACTTCCACCTCCACTTCCGCCTTGCCAACTCTTCGCCAAGCTCTTTGCCAACTCTCTTCGCCAAGCTCTTTGCCAACTTCCCAGCTCAGTGTGCACTGGGACCTCAACCTGGGACCTGCCCAGCTCAGTGCGCACTGCTGGACGTCAACCTGCGAGCTGCCCAGCTCAGTGTGCACCGCTGGACCTCAACCTGCGAGCTGCCCAGCTCAGTGTGCACCGCTGGACCTCAACCGGGGACCTGCCCAGCTCAGTGTGCACCGCTGGACCTCAACCGGGGACCTGCCCAGCTCAGTGTGCACCGCTGGACCTCAACGGCCAGATAGAATGCCAGAAGATATGCCAGATGGAATGTCAGATAGAATGCCAGAAGATATGCCAGATAGAATGCCACAAGATATGCCAGATAGAATCCCAGAAGATTTGCCAGAAGATATGCCACAAGATATGCCAGATAGAATCCCAGAAGATTTGCCAGATAATATGCCAGAAGATATGCCAGAGAGGATGCCAGAAGATTTGCCAGAAGATATTGCCAGATAGAATGCCAGAACATATGCCAGAAGATATGCCAGATAGAATGCCAGATAGAATGCCAGAAGATATGTCAGAATATATGCCAGAAGATATGCCAGATAGAATGCCAGATAGAATGCCAGAAGATATGTCAGATAGAATGCCAGAAGATATGCCAGATAGAATGTCAGAAGATTTGCCAGAAGATATGCCAGAACATATGCCAGAAGTTATGCCAGATAGAATGCCAGATAGCATTCCAGAAGATATGCCAGATAGAATGCCAGAAGATTTGCCAGTAAGAAAATGATAGAAAATGTATAAATGTCATGGTGGGGATCACACGAAGTAAAGTAATTTAGGAGGTTCAATGGGTAATTACATAGATTTTTATGGATTATGTCTGACTATGTACTATATGTGCTGGGTTTTCACGATGGTATGTTATTTGATTGAGTCTAATGGAATTTCACGGTGATGAAATGGTGGTGAAATGGTGATCTCATGAGACTGAACGGAGATTTCATGGTGATTTCCATGGGATAGAATGGGACGAACTATGGAGAACTCTTCAAGGTCGTGCCCTCCCAGAAAATGTTTCTTAGTTTATAAATATTATTAATTTTACATATATATATATATATCTATCTAATATCCATTAACTACAGATATATCTATAGTGTAAACCCAAGTTATTGGAGTTATAAACTGGCACCACCTTGTATTGTATGGTGGTTCATACTCATTTGCCAATATGTTCATTTACAGACCCATTTCATGAACCCAATGCCAATGGATATCGCCATTTCCGATGTCGACAAGTTAATTTTGTCTGGCGGGCAAATACCTTCAGAAAGCAGTGAGGGGCTTAGCTCCTTAGGAATCTCAAAGCTGGAATGGTCGTTTACCCTCTGGTAATTTAACATAGCTATGGAAAATCACCATTTTTAATGGGTAAATCCACTATAAATGACCATTTTCAATAGCTATGTTAGTTTACCAGAGGGTATATGTGTTTCATTTGTTCCATTTTTATGTTATTTGAAGTTGCCACTTATCTTCGGAATAAGTGAGCAGATTTTTCGCCATGCAGTTCACCAAATTTTCGGCCACTGCGGCCAGGCAACACGGCTACTTCTGAAGACTGATGGAAGATCCGAAGGGAAACAAATTACCATTAATTACCTTTGTCTTTTCAAGAAATTCAGGTTTTGAAGAAACGCTTGCTGTTACCGTTTACCCTCTGGTATTATGTTTTCTTCAATGGAAACACACACACCATACCATGGATTTTCAGAATGAACGTCTCCATCTGTAGATGATTTTCCGTTGCCACGTTTGATTATGGGACGCCCATGGTTTCCGCTCAGGCTGCCGTGTGGACTCCACGTGGGCCCGACATGATATCGGTGGTTGGGGAGCCCGGGGTACTGTATTAAAGATTAATGATTTTCCATCTAGTTATGTTTGTTTACCCGAGGGTATAAAATGGTATAATATTTACAATATAATCACCACTGTGAATCGGAGAAATGGAGAATATCTTTATGGTTGTGGTTTGTTAACCCATTCCAGTATAAGGGTGAATCGGATTATATCTGGCGATTGATGGGATGGACAAAACAAAAACACAAGGTGCCGCGCGACATTGCGGGAAAACAATGGGAATCCGTAGGAAAACCACCAGTGCACGGTCCTGACTGCAGTGCTGCATAGAATCCAGAAAGTGGGGGCATTCGACACTACGATAATATTTCATGGGGGTATGGACAAAGCCACATGTTACTGAAATAGCTCAACATACAGCACATGTTAGAATAATAGAATAGACCCCAGTTTGGTATAGATATGTATAGATTAATTATAGATGATTATATTACAAGAACGTGGGGTTGCCACATGTTCCCACATGTTAGGATAGAATCGTAAGATATCATAAGACTTCCCTGGAAGATATTCTAATGTGGTAAACCCAATAATAAACCATCCCCCAAATCAGCAATTTACCCTCTGGTTATTTAACATAGCCATGGAAAATCACCATTTTAATAGGTAAACACAGGTAAACCATCTATAAATGGACCATTTTCCATGGCTATGTTAAATAACCAGAGGGCCAGAGGGTATGTTTTTTTTTTGAAATGTATTTTTACGGGTTGAAGAAACCATCCCCAAATGATTCAGAGTTCTCTTAGGGATTTACCACATGGAAAACCCTCGTCATCACCCTTGAGGTGAAGCAACTGCCGGCTGCTGAGCTGGTGGCATTTTCCAAAGCCTTGGTGGTCCGCCTCCTCAGGGCTTCCGCCAAACCCGGTTTTCGTGGCTTCGGTTCCATCACGGCTTTTCCAAGCTCTGAGTAAGCTGAAGTGGTGTGTTTTGAGATGATTGAAGTACTTTTGTGAGTTAGGGTAAACAAAATTTTACTCTTTACCTGGACAATCCAGGGGACGCAAAGGATTCCAACACCACTTACAGGGACCATTATATCAAACTTACCTGGGGGATTCCAATGGGGATAGATTACCCAACAATTCCAGTCGTACCTTAATTTAATCCATTGCAAGTCATGTGGTAAATCTGTATAATCTCTATCGTAGAATGAGAAGTTGGTGGTTCATATCCAACTGTAGCGGTCAATGTGAATCAACATGTGACCCCTATCAAATCACCCAGTCATGATTTGGACATTGGTTAAATAAATATGAAGCTTTGAGGGGAACCACACCAAAAGGGTCGCGTTTCGGGTGAAGTAGAAACCATCTAAATCCAACTGTTTCCAGGTGTTGTTTCCTTGTGAGTATTCTCGGGGTCACAAGAGGACACAACCGGACACAGCAGATCCTTTGGCAGGGCCTTTTTGTGGTATATGTCCATGTCAATGCGCGTGTGGATTTGGGCTTTCCATAAATGGAGGTATCCCAAAATGGTTGGTAATGGAAAATCATGGAAAATCGTATGTAAATGATTTTAAATGGATTATTTGGGAGTACCCCTACTTTAGGACACCTCCATATATGGACCCTTCATTGATTCACTGTTCAAGTTCGGGGTGGGAAAAGGTTGCATAATTCCATTATTGACATATGACTCTGACCTCTGACGCGGACAAACGATGTGTTCTTGTTGTCTTTGTATCCATTTCTGCTACGCCGTCGCATTGCAAGAACATTAAAACAATAAAGCATCGAAGTTCCGTACATAGCATTCGTTCCGCCATAGTAAATATGCAGCCCACAGAAACCCCATGGTGGAATGATCGGAGATCACGGGGCAGGATCGCTATGACTATCCACGCGAGCGCCTCAATTGCGAAAGATGGCTTACACAGGTGCGGCGGCGCAATTTTATGTGGTCATATGACGGTCATATGGTGGCAGTGGGGAGGTAACCGACAAAGATATGGAGGGAGTAAGTCAGCTGCAATATTGTGATAGGGCCGATAGGGATAGGGTGGGCGGTATGTGATATACAAGCAACAACATGATTAGCCTGTCGTGAATTGCGGGACACGCCCGCATAGAAAAAAGTATCAGATTATGACTCTTGGGGAAGTACCCCCTGATTCATAAGCTATAGCTGGTTGGTGGTTTCAAACATCTTTTATTTTCCATAATATATGGGATCATCCTTCCCATTAACTTTCATATGTTTCAAGATGTTTAAAACCACCAAGCAGCTATAGTTTATGAATCCGGGGTTGACATTCGTATTCAATGATACATTTTTTGGCTGGCAGATTTGGAGGTTTTTTTCCGGCCATCAAAGTTTGGAAACCGAGGCAGTGACCGTTTAACATGCTGGGGGTGTTTTTACACATTTGAAAAACATACGGCAATCATGGCTAGCTGGAAGAAATCCGAACTAAATGCAGGCTTTTTTATGGAAAATCATCCGCAAACGAAAACATTGTCCAGCAAGTCATGTTTGATTACCAGAGGGATAAACTCAGTGAGTTTGATTCGTATTGATATAGACTATAGATCGAAGACAGAAGTGGACCATAAAGAGTGCCATGGTCAAAACATGATTTGTAGATCGTTTGTGTTCCACAACCAGGGATGGTCATCCCTCATTTTCATGGGGTTAATGTACCAAGTATACCAGCTGTATCAGGAATCCCATCAAAAATGGATGACAGTGGATTACCATAAAGTTGTGTTGAAAACATGGCGAAGATATGGATGACAGTAGGCTCATTTGTCAATGGGAGATCTCCAGGATCCTAAAATGGAGGTACGTTAGTACCATATTTTTGGCCATATTTTGGGGGTATATCCCCTGAAATTTAGGCCTTACACAGGCCTTATATATGGGTGGTACCTCCATTTTCGGATCCTGAAATTCCCATTGAATTTGAATTTGCATGGTAAATGGTATAATTACTGTAATTTGTTTTCCATTACCCAGTTGTTCGTTCCAGGTGCGAATTCGACGATCTCGGAACAGGACGAAATCCAATCCTTACCAATCGTACAACCCCATTGATTAGCAACTATCATTTTTGATATGTTTGGGTGGCTTGAAACCACCAAGTTTGGCACTGTTTCTATATAGTTATGTGCTGCTTATATCAATGATTTGCTGCTTAAGGTCACCTGAATCGGAGTACTTGTCGGAATTCTATGGGTATAAAAGCCATCCATATGATAGTTGTATATCACTTCAGAACCTAAATGACACTGATCTCTGGAACCTCTCGAACCTCTTGACCCGTAATGGCAGTGATCGTCAAGTCGTCCACGTGTTGCAACTCATGTGGATCTATGGGTGACACGAATATGGGTCGTAGGGGTCATAGCTATGTCCGATCTTCAAAAATGGATGGTGTTCAGATCTTCAAAATTACCAAGTTGGGGTTTTCATTCATGTTCAATTCTAAACATGGGTAATGGGTTCTAAGTAGTGTTTTCGTTTCATCTAACATACGTAACTAATCGTAACTATAGATGTATTTCATCAGCATTAACCCAACAGTTACATATGCCTTCCTGCAAGGTGGTGCCCCATGGTTTGCTAAGTTGGTGCAAATAACTCTTTATGGTAGATATATTTATATTAATTATCTATACTATTCCTATGGTTTATAAAGCAATGTATAACTGGGGGGGCACCCCCTACCGTGTTTTTCTGATGAATAGATGTGGAAACTGCCTCCATTTGTAGATCATTCTCCGACACGGGGGTTTCCCATGGCCATCGCGGCCATCGGTGCCAACCGCAGATCTTGGAGCATGGGTCGCATGCGGTGATCGACTCCGAAGCCTTCAGGGAGGAAGTGAGGTGCGGTTGGGGATTCCCAACGAATTCAACCCACGTGGATTGGGAAATCACGGGAAATCCCCAGATTTTTTCTTCAAAAAGCTGGTAGCCGCTACAGGTAAACTGTTTTTAAACTCATGGAAAATCATCAGCATTTTCAATAGCTTTTTGTTACCATGGAGGGTGTTTCACCTCAGGTCGTCAAACACATTGACTTCGATGAATTTAGGAATTCCAATGGCGATGGTTGAGAATCTATAGGCAAATGCATGGCTGATTACTTAAAGGACACGCCGCCATGGGCGGCCCCTCTGAGAAAATATAATATAGGAAAATGGATATACAGCATACATATATATAATCTGGTTGGTGGTTTCAAATATTTTTTTATTTTCCATAATATATGGGATAATCCTTCCCATTGACTAATATGTTTCAAGATGATTAAAACCATCAAACAATATAATATACATATATATATATATATGTAACCATATTTTTTTTTAAAAAAAAAAGTGCATTGGACAGAGTCCATTGGATGCAGTGGATCCGGGGGTATGTTTTTCTTTGTTTGTTCTTAAGCTAAGTTTCAGCCTGTTTTCTTGCGCAAGAAACTGTCCACATGGTTGACATTGTTGATACCAAGTTGCTAGGATGTGTTGAAACAACATTTTTGCCACCTGAGCCATGATAGTGGATGATAAAACATCCAGTATTATGTAGCCAAACAATGTGGAGTATTAGCAAGAAGTAAGTGGGCTATCACCAGCAGATTGAATGGACATTGCATGACATCACCAGAAATAGTAGGTATAAAGCTTTCCAAATTAATCTGCTTGGTGCTTGCAATTATCATTAGTCATGTTCTATCCTAGCCTGGTTGAATGATGATCCCGATGATACCTAACTGGTGAGGTCCTAGTAAGTACGCTTTGATATATGGGCCACAACCTTAGTCAAGACACGGGCACAAGTGGAATGGTCATCTGAGCTGGGAACTCTAGCCACGCTCTGAAATCATGATCAATGACGTGCTTTCAAATTCTTCCATCACCAAATTATGCTGATCAAACCAACCTTTTTTCTTCGCTTAATCGGCCAATATCTATATTGATTCCATTCCTCCACTCCATCCCTTCTCTTTCTACCAGTCCAATGGCGAGTGGTCAATGTAACGCTACATGTCTATGCATATACAGATATTGTAGCATGGTTATTTGTGCATGCATGTATATAGATATGTGCCATTTGTTCCGTTATATATAAATAATATTAAATAATACATACATACGTACATACATGCTGACATACGTATGTATTACGTACATTGTACGTATGTACGTACATGTCATGTTTTAGTTTCGACATGACAAACGACATGGCTAAAATGTGACCATCGTCTTCATGTGTTTTTCATTGGGACGGACACACGAACTAAATATGTTTACCCTTGTCATATAGAAATTATCCCATTGTTCCCAAACAGCTTTCAAGTGGATATGTGATGCAAACAAGTCAGTAGAGACCGACAACATTCCCATATCCAATCTATATACTCCAAATGGAGTGAACGGCCCCGTCAAAACATGTTTTGCAACACTGTTTGGTTTTGGTGAGATATATGTTTGCCAATGGTTGCGTTCAGAGTGCGTTTGATTTCATGCATTTTTTATGTTTTGTCTTAGTCAAACTTAGTTAACTTGGCCTGACACATTCAAGTGGCACTCCTTCCTGGTCTGCCTGGTTCAAACATCACATGGAGCCCGAGACGCGCGTGGCAAGTGAGGCGCTCCTGGTGTCGCGATCCCAAATCTCCAGAAAACTGGTTCTCATGCAGGATGGTGCCCCCCAGTGATGGAACGTTGGTTTATAAATCCCATGGTTAAACTATAGTTATATCATGTTATATCTGCCATAAACCATAGTGAAATTGGAGTTATTTGCACCAACTTAGCTAACGAACTGGGGCACCACCTTGTGGTCTTCTGGAGTTATACCATGTTTAGCTAAACAGTCAGGTACGACCATAGGAAGTCCGAGAGACTAACCGAGCTGGGCCCAGGCCTTCAAGTTATGTTTTTGTTTTAATGGATGCTAGATGCTTTGATATACCATGTGCTCTGTTGGTAAGCATGATATGAACATATATGAACCATTCTTCATTCTCCTGGTCAAGCTAACCTTCGAATGAGGTAACCACTTGGGACACCATGAGAACATCGATTGAATATGATTGAATGTTGCAGCTGGGAGTCTCCTGACACATGCTGATAGTTATTTGTTAGATGGTGTTTGTCCGAAAATATCCACCCCAAATCGGAATGTACCAAATGGTAACGGAAGTGGGAAAAGGATGATGACCCCATTGTCAGACAATCTCTTGTGAGATGTGTACATACATACACCATGTAGTAGAGATATATCTATAGGGTATTATACTAGACATGTAACCTACATGTTGTAGGTTCCAACCATTACATACAAACCAAATCTAAACCTAGTATATAAACCAAAACATGTACTATTTATACATGGATTACAACGTGCTTGGCTTATGAAGAAACAACCTGTTTCCGCTTGGCGCTAGGTGTCACTGGATGGCGCCAACGACCTGGCTGACGTGTGCCCTGGATCTGTGAAGCTACTTGGAGATTTTCTAAGTCATGGAGGTACCCTGAAATCGTCCAACATTTGACTTCTTTTTCGTAGTGAAAACCATGGTGACACTGAGGGACCCATTTTAGGACACCTCCACTAAAAGGATGTGCATTCCAGGAATTGGACACGTGATACGCTTGGGATGAGGGTAGCCCTGTTGGTTTATTTCACGAATATTTCATCAGGGTTTATGGTAGAATTATGGTAGATATATATCGAAAAGACATGAATTGGCAAAATGGATTTATAATCCGACTGACGTAACAGGAAAGGCCCACGTGTTTTTTTGGTTCGCTTTTACAATACAATTTCAGATCATAGCACATGGAATTGTGAAGTCGAGCAGTGACAGTGGCCCTTGGATCGTGGCTGTATAGATTAGTAATAGAATTTTGTATCGATCACTCATGATTATATAATTATATAATAATTATATAATTATATATTACATTTTGGGATATGCCCTAGCAACATATTTAGTAAAATCACGCCAATAGTATACTGGTTGGTGGTTTGGAACATGAATTTTATGACTTTCCATATATTGGGAATTTCATCATCCCAACTGACGAACTCCATGATTTTTCAGAGGGGTAGGCTCAACCACCAACCAGATGTCAGTACTTAGATGGGCCATGGGATTAGCGATTCCTGGTTAGTAACTGGGGATTTGTTACCCCCTATATCCCAATCCACTTACTAACCAGTTAACTAACTCCATGGCCCATCTAAGTACATGTCATTCCTTGCGTTTCGCACAGCCCGCGCAGGTCACTGGCGCCACCGGCGCCGCTAGGTCTACATGGCACGGAACCTCGGTGGGTTCGTTGAGGCTCGTTGCACTTCTAAGGACACAATGGATTCAAAATATCTTCAAAATAGTTTCATGTTGTATCATGTTGATTCAATTCATGTTGATTGGATTCAGAAGCATTTTTTGTTTGGATTACCCATATTGGTGTAGAGGGACACTTGATGACTTGGTGTTTGATTCACGTTGAATCCATGGAAGAGCAAGGAATCCTTGATGATTTCATGAGTCAATCTCCCAGTTGACACATGGAAAACCAATGGACTTCTCCTTGGAACACCAATTTTTCACAGCATCTACAACTGGTTGCTTTTTTCAATGTTTTTGAAGCGCCCACGCTCCGGCATGAAGGCCTTCAAACATTGGGTAAACACAGCCAAACTGACGCCTTTTGGGGCCCTGCGCGCATCACCGCCATCATCAACATATAACAACAGCAAGCATTTGAGCTTGGATTTGTTTTCTACATGTCTTTTTTGACATGTTGCATTTGACACAGATACGCTTCTCTAAACAGAGGGACGTTATGCACAGCAAACTTTACACAGAGCAGTTTTGTGCGCACATGCTCTTACACAGGTTTTTTATGCACAGGGCAGCTTTTACACACATACGCCTCTACAAACAGAGGCTTTCACACAAAGAGGCTTTTACACTCGGAAACTTTTACACACCGATGCACCAAGATGCTTGTGCACAGCGCAGCATTTACGCCCAGGCCCCTTTACACACAGACGCTTTTACACACAGAAGCTTCTACACAGAGAAATCTTTGCACAGAACAGCTTTTACACAAAGAAGTTTTCCTCTCCCCCGCCCCCAAAACCCCAAAAAAGGCAAATAGTTTTTTCCCGTTCCTGCCGTTTCCCTTCCAGATAACGAATGCTGTAATGGACGACACTGAGATATCCAGGTTTCTTTGTTTGTCCTTCGGGTTCCCATTCAGCATTCTACGGGACACCATGCTCGACCCTTTTTTACAGACAGACGCCGCTATGCACAGCAGCCTTTACACAGAAGCTTTTATCCGCACATGTTCTTACACAGAGAGGTTTGTGCACAGAGAAACTTTTATACGCAGACGGTCGCAGCTCTTCGGCCGAACCTGCAGTGTTGCTGTTTGAACACCTGTCCGTCATTTTTGCTTCCTACCTTTTGTGTTCCCCTTCCCAAGTTATATTTACATGTATCTGTATTTACATAATTGGTGTAGTAGTACCCCCACTTTGGAATATCTGAAATTATTCTGAGGTGGGACTCCTAGGACCCTCAAGGTTGGGAAGATATAAAATAGATATTGATAGATGTGGGCGCCTGTTGAGGCCACACATGCACTCAAGCGCGCCTGACACAGCCCATGGCAATCCACAGAATGCATCCTGGGGCTTTCGGCGAACGCGGAACGTATGCGATGTAGCACTTAAAATATGACATCAACTGTTGAATACTGTGCAAGAGTAAAATTGTGAGTTATAAGTTATATGTGTTAAAGTGAAGACTGTATAGTGAAAAAATGAAAATATTTCTTACTTACATGTTTTAACTTGAAACT